CAAGGCTGAGTGAGGGTCTCCCAAGACTTCAACTTCGTAATGCCTGCCACATCATTTAGTTAACATGTTTCTCTAAATCAATTCACTTTTTGTAGCCTAAAGCAATTTCTTAAAAGGAAACTTTAAATCATATTTATAAATGAAAAACCACAAATAAGAAGCACCCCAAAATAAATACAATGAAAGTAAAACAGTTTCTAAATTCAGCTAGCTAATGTTGCCCAAGTCTGAGATCTGCTCTCTAGGTCACAAGGAAGGATTATTAGCAGATCGTATAGAGAGAGGTGTTAATGACAAACTAGCGCCAAACTGATACTTTCTCTGGAATTGTTAGCAGGATTAAGAACAAATTTTTAAGAGAATTCTCTCATTCTGCTAGTGTCCCTGTACCTCCTAAATCAACACGTCACCAATTCAGCTGGTGGGTTTTCAGAGGAATGGGGGAGGCAGTGGGGCAGTTTCTGGATGGAGTATCCTCCCCGGACTCCTCAGGCTGATGGGCCTCCCCACGTCGCCCCTAGGTGGGCATTGTCCCCCTCCCTCTGCTGAGTCACTGCACTCAAGAAAGGAAGAGGCTTCTGGGAAATGCCTTTTGTTCCTTTCCTTCCCACTGTTTACCTGGTTACGCTTGGCATCCGGGCTGATGATCAATAAAGGATTAGATGTAAAAATAAACCAAACCTGCTTGCTCTTAAATAATGTTATCTAAAGGGAAAGGTCTCAACCCTGAAACAAACCAGGTTTCAAGCAAGAATTTGAATTAATTCTGACAACATAATCCAGAGTGCAGGATCTGCCTTCAGGCTATGTTTTTTTGTTTTTTTTCTCTGTCAGCTCCACTAAGGAAAGAGAAAGAACTGAGGAGAGGAAGGGATGTTTATTTTCTGACCTGTGAAAAGAAGCTTATTATTATTGTTATTCACTAAGCTTCTTTTGAAGTGAACATAAAATGGAAATAAAACTCAACTCTTTCTCCCTTCCTCTGTCCCCTCTCTCCTTTCTTTCCTCACTTTCTTCCTCTCCTCTCCCTCCATATACTCCGTCCATACACATAGATGGCATGGGTATGATGTATCAGGCCAGTGTTTCCCAGCTTTGGTTTGTTTGAACACCAGCTTCTCCATTTCTGCCTAATCCATAACCCATCTCTACTATAATTTACTTAAATATTTTTCTTTGAATTCTCTTTGTTTTACTTACATAAATTCGGCCCATTCAAAAACAATGGAATACATTAAATCAAAGGTTTGATAATGCAGTTGCATATTTCTCCTCCAATAAACAGTAAGAGAAATAAATTAACATTACAATATAAATTGGGCCCTGAGCACCTCCTAAACGTACCTCATTGAGTTGAGCATGCTTGGTGGAATCTTCAAGGCAGGGTCTTATTAAGCCCACTGCCTCCTCAGGGCTTGCCAGGGAGGGGCCTGCAAAGGCCTCGGTGAACACTTGCTGGCTGACTGCAGTGCTGGATCCCCACATCCTTCAGACCAGTGCTTTTCAAACTTAAGCTCCTGAAGAGATTGTTAAAACAGATTCCTGGGCCCCTTCCCCAGAGATTCTGATTTAGAAGGTCTAGAGTGAGGCCTGAGATTCTGCATTTCTAACAAAGTGATGCCCATGCTGCTAGTCTGAAGACTGTAACTGAAGTGGGCCTTGGACTACTGGGTATCAAAATCAGGTGTAGGTGAAAATGCAGATTCCTGGGCGCTACTCATGAGACATTCTGATTCCTCAGATCTTGAGTGGGTCCCAGATCTTACTCACCAGCACCCTAAGGAATCTCTGGAGACCACGTTTTAAGAAACATTGCCTGGACCTCTACTAGCACTTTTAACTTGGAGGTGAAGTATAACGAGGTGAGATGATCTGCAAGGTCATTGTGCAAGTCAAGGACAACTCCATTCTCCATGTTGCTTGGACCCTAAACCTTGAAGCATCCTGGACTCCTCTTTCCTTCCCACCCCACATTGAGCAAATCCTGGCGGCTCTTCCTTCAAAACATATTCAGATTTTCTTTAAATGACTCCAGCAAACAAGACAGACTTGGGAACAGGAGGGTAGATAAAACAAGAAGGTAAAATGTTGATAATTATTGAAACAGAGTTCATTTTATTACTCACAATTTTATGCATATTTGAGTTTTTCCACGATAAAAATTTTTATTTTTAAGTCTTTGATCCAACAAATCCATTTCTGGGAATTTATCTTAATGAAAATTTTAGATATAGAAAAACTCTCACAAATAAAAATTTTTTTTTTAATAGTTACTTATATAATAGTAAAAATTGGGAACACACTAAACTGTAATAATACAAAATGGACAAAGTAAACTATGGGATATCCCTTAATAGGACTTTATATCATTAAAAATGTTTATTCGAGCTATGTCCTAACATGAAAATATGATATACTATTAAATGAAAAAACAAGGCCTTGAATTATATGTGCTGCATGACTAAAACAATGCAAAGACTTAAAAGACCGAAATTAAAAAATAATCTTATATACTCAGAATCTCATCTGTATCCCTGCGACAGACAGCCCGAACTGGTCTCTCTGTTTTGCCCCTCCCTCCCTCCAGCCTCTTCTCCACGTGGCAACCAGAGTCCTTTGAAAAGGTCAATCAGATCATGATCCTCCTGGGTCTGGAACCCTACAAAGGCTTCCCATATCTCTCTGAATAAAAGCCAAGTCTACATCTCCGATGGCCCTGATCTACCGCTCTATTCCTGGCTGCGTCCCTGCCACTCCAGCTGCACTGGCCTCCTTGCTACTCTTCAAACACACTCCAGCTTCAGGGCCTTTGCATAGCTGTGTCCTCAGCCTCCAGACATGTGGGTGGGTATGCTCCTTCCTCAAGAGCGGCTCCTCAGAGCTGAGCTCCTTATCTAAAGCAGCACCACCATCACCCCCATATCCTTTATTTTTCTTCATAGCACTTATCAACACCTCCTATGGTACATTTATTTTATTTGTCTTCCACTTACTAGAATACCAATTCCTTGAGAGCAAAGACTTTATCTGTCTTGTTCTCTGCTGTATCCGTGGTACCTAGCCCAGAGCCTGGCACGTGGTAGGTGGTCAATAAATACCTGTTGAATAAAAGAATAACTACCCCTGGAAACTGTAAGTTTCATGTGGGCTTTGCTTCTTGGGGGACCTCCCCCTCCCCGGGGCCTCCTGGTAGTGGCACACCCACAGCAGGTGCCCAGTGGGTACTCAGGTGGCCAGTGGGTTTTCCATCCACCTCCACAGTACACACAGTGTCAATAAAGTGCATTCTGTGAACTGGAGGCAGCAGAGCATGGTGGCTAAGAGTACTGGCTTTGGGAGGTCAAACTCTGGCTTACCACCACCAGCCGTGTGGCCTTGGGCAAATTACAGGGAGTCTCTGGGCATTAATTGTTCCCTGTATAGAAAGGGAAGGATACTCACAGTTCCTATTTTCCAGGGCTTGGTTCCAGACTAAACAAGATCATGCCCAAAAGGACTTAGGAAGCACAGTGCCTGGCACAGAGTAGGTGTGCACTAAGAGGCAGTCAAATTCATCAATAGCCTTTGACTCTTTCAAGTTTACAACGCCTTTTATATACAGCCTTTATCTGAGTTAATCCTTTCAACAGTCTGTCGGTTTTATCACCGTTTTATAGGTAAGGAAACTGGGTTGAAGAGGGGTAAAGTACATGCCCACAGACCACAGTTGAAGCTGACTAGAAATCTGTGCCCTTTCCTCTAGAAACACTGCTGATGCTAATCAGGATGATTTGGATGGCCCATCAGAGCTCCACCTTCTAAAGTGTGGGCCTAGTGTGAGGCTGCCAACAGCAAACGGAGGTGGCCAATGAGTCTACTCCCCACTTGTCATGACCCCATGGAAGCAGGGGATGCACTGGCTCCCGTGTCTAGGGCTGTTTCTCTGAATGGGGCTTGTGAGCAAGTCTAGACCAATAAGCCATCTCAAAGAGGCCACCCAGGATTGAAAACACTTCACTCTTTGCCCAAGAGAAAACCATACAAAGCGCTTTCTGGAGTTTCTCCCACCAGAGTTGAACAGTACTTCAAAGTAGCAAATGCCGTCTCTGGTGTTTGAGTCCCCCATCACCCTGCCACCTCTGACCTCTGACCCAATTTGCACAGGGGCTATGGACCTGGCTCGCTATCAGAGCCGCCTCTACCATTCCAGGATTAAAGGTCGAGGGAGGTTTAAGAGATCGGCAGGGAACAGTTATGGAAATTTAGAACCACATAGTCGAAAAAGCATATTCTCAGGAGTCGTGGATTATTAAAACTGCAGCATCTGAGAAACAAACCTACGACTTGTAATATCTTAAGCCTCATGGTGCTGGTAGAGAGATTATACTGGATGGGAAGGGGCAAACCAGCATCCAAACTGGGAATTCCAATGGTTCCTGGCATGTTCTATCTGGTCAGAAGGTTGGGCAACACTCCCTTGCGAGAATATGGTCTGAGGGCTTCTGTTGCAGGAGAGGAACAGGCTCTGGATACCAACCTAATGGCTAAATTCTACCAATCAGGTCTTTGAGGCAGGACAGCAGAAGGGGAGTAGAAAGCCTTCAGAAGGAGCCCACAAGGCCAGCAAGCCCTGGCTCCCAATGATGCGTTCTGAGCCCCTGATGGTGTCAGGTTTGTGCAGGCCACCGACCACCAAAAGACCGACTGATGGCAATGCCATGATCGTCCAGCAAGATGTCACGTGCTCCTTGCCAGAATGTGCCGTATGAGCAGCACCTGGCTGTTTGTGGAGCACTGCACAGCACCAGGTTTGATAAAGTACATTTGCATAGTGTTTATGCTGGAGGAGGGTGTTCATGCCCTAAACCCCAGAAATGGCCTAGGAAGGGGGGAATGACAAGGGCTCTGGGTAGGCAGAGGGGACAGGTCTGAAGGCCACTTCGGGGGTCACCTGGAAGAGCAGTCAATACACCCACCCCTGGCCTCAGCCATATCTAGTTAAGGTCACTTAATGTATCTATGCTAGTGGACTTCATGGATTTTTAAAAATGAAGGAGAGTTCTGGAGTAGTCACGATCTTGTACGAAAATGATTTAAAAAAAAAAATACACACACACACACATATAACTCTCTCTGAAGAGAGAGTTCATCATCCCAGGCTGCTCAGAGCAGGGCAGACCAAAATGTAGAGTTGGACTGCTCTGCTGATGTGAGAATTCCCAAAGAAACAGCAGGAAGCACATGGGGAGGGAGAGAGGCTTAGAAGTCCTGCACCCTGGGAGATGGGCCTCCTCCCCCTCCAGGAAGTCCCTGGTACCTTTCCATCTCTGGCAGGCAAGCAAGGAGCTTGTGCCCTTGGGGATCAATCCTGGGAGCATCTCTGGCTGCCAGGCCTGGCTGGAGGGCCCAGCTCAGACTGGTGATGTGCTCCAGCCCAGATCAGAACTCATCCCGAAGCTTAGGGGGCCTGTCCATGCCAAAGAAAGAGGATGGCCTCCCCTGGAGGTCCCGTTCCCGCTTCACGAAGGCAGTGAAGGAGGAAACACAGTTGCCAATGAAGTGGTCAGCTTGGCCAAGGATGTACAGGTCGATCTGGGCCACCTCGGGCTTCAGGCTCACCACCTTCACCTGCAGGAGGAAGGGTAGAGGGGATCAGCCAAGGTGGCTGCAGGCCATGGTCTATACTCCCAACCTTCTTCCCTGGAGCTGATGTTAACGGACACAGAGGAGGAGAGAGGGTGAAGACGTGGAGTTGGGTGTCTGAGAGGTATCACCCAGCTGCTGCCCATGTCCACGTGGAACACCTTGACCCCAGCACCTTCTCCCCACCTCCAGCCTCAGCTCCAAATGCATAATTCATTCACATCTCTGTACCTTTGCTTGTGTTGTTCCCTCTGCCTGGAATGCCTTTTCCCCACCCATTAAAATCTGGATCATAATCTCAAGGCTCAGTTCAAGGTCTACCTTTCTTGTAAAGCCTTAGTCTGATGGGCTCCGCCCACCAAATCTGTGATCTGACCAAACAGTGCCCCTACTCATCCAGTTCTGCCGCCTGGATGCCACCTCCTTCTCCCATGGACTCCACCTCTAAGCCAAAGTCCTGTCCACTCTATCCCCAAGATACTCCCCAGAGGAGTAGTTATCAGTATCATCAGCTCAGCACCAGCCCAGCTTCATGGAGGAGCAAGGATGAGAGCAGTGGCACAGGAACAGGAAATAGCAAACAGTAAGTGGCTCAAAGTGTCACAAACGCATCAACTCTAAAATCTCACCAAAAAAAAAAAAAAAACTCCCTGGGACTCTCCAGATGCTTCACCTTAGTAGAGAGGTGGGGGTGCGGGCAGAGCTGGGGCTGAAAGAACTTTGCTGTCACACAGATTTCTGATGTAACGAAAACCACCAACATGTCAGTTAGATTGTAGCAAAGAAATAATACTAGTTCAATCACAGCCAAAATCCCCCAAACAATTCTACCCACAACCTGAAACTTACCCACTCTGTGTCATACCCACTATAATTAGCTCTGGAACCATCTTGGGTAAATTCTATCCTTTCTTGGGACTTTGGTTTCCTCAGCTATAAAATGCAGGGGTTGGGTCAGAAGACCCCCAAAGTCTCTCCCAGCTCTGATGTTCTATCTCTAAAATGGGTGGGTAGGAGATGAGCATGCACTGACTCAGCACTTCCTCTATACCCTGGGGCAAGAGAGAGAAAGGGAGCCCCTCGACATAAAGCCAAGGGCACCCACTGCTGGAAAGCAGGTGTCTGTCTTTTAAGGTCTATATGCGCATTTAAGGCCTTAACTCATTCAACAAATTCTTACTGATGCTTATTATTAAGTCAGTCAGTTTATCCAAACATACTTATTACCTACTCTCTACTGATACAATATGCATTTACCACGCACATTCTGCTAGGTATTCATATACTGAATACTTATTATTTACAGCTTCTTTAAGCATTTACTGGAAACCCTGGTGGCGTAGTGGCTAAGAACCACGGCTGCTAACCAAAAGGTCAGCAGTTCGAATCCACCAGATGCTCCTTGGAAACACTATGGGGCAGTTCTGTTCTGTCCTGTAGGGTTGCTATGAGTTGGAATTGACTCAACGGCAATGAGTTTTTCTTTTTTTTTAAGCATTTACTAAGCACAAAAGAGCCTTCCCTTTATTCAACCACCTACTTCTTTTATTGATGATAGTTAACTTTATTGAACACTTACGTTGTCCCAGGAACTGATTTAACTGCTTTATACCTGATCTTTATAACCACACTATGAAATGGGTACTATTCTCAGTCCCATTTTACAGACGAAGAAACAGAGCACAGAGAAGTGAACTAACTCGTGCAAGGTTGCACAGTAAATAAAGTCCAAGTTCTCTGGCTCAGAGTCCATGCTCTTCACCCCTCTGCTATACTGGATCTCTACCAAGGGCCCACACTTTATGTCCTTCTTCAACATTTACTGAGCACTTACTATGTGTTAGGCACAGTACCAGACACTGGTGATGGTAGGGTGAGTGTCTACCCCCAAGGAGGTCAAAACACTAGGCTAGACGCCAAGGAATACAACAGTGATTCAGCCTTGATTCTTGACTTCAAGGAGCCCACAGTGCCTAGGAAGAAAAAGACATGTCCCTACAGTCTGTGAGAGCTCTTAGCAGGGACATATTAACTCCAGGAGTGGAGGGAAAGTGGGGGATCTACAGAGGAGGTGTTTGAGCTGGGGTTTGAAAGAAGGATAAGAATTAGAGAGGGAGTGAATGTCCAAGCAGAGGAAACGGCCCAGGCAAAAGCCTGGTGGGATAACATGAAGCATGTGGTGGGAGCAGTGGGGCCACCTTGGCGCTTTGTTGGACCTTGTTCCCGCTGCACACCCAACCTGGCACTCCCACCTCCCACTCTCATGCATACCTTCCCTGTGAAGAGCTGTTGGATCTCAGGCACATAGCTCTCAGAATCTGTGGCGATGTAGACAGACTGGGCGTTCAGTGCCTTCACCCAGAGCTTCACGGCCCGCTGGATTTCCTTTAGGTCGGGGAGGCACATGGTCATGGTGAGCGGTGCAGCTGCGCTGCGGCTATAGCCCACACACTGAGGTGAGGCCATGAAGTGGGAGCCTGCAGTCCCATCCTTAAGCATGGTGCAGGCATTCTTCTATGGAGGGACAGGAATGGGGCCAGAGTTAAAGACAAGCAACTGTTCCCGGAACCTCAGTGGCAAGAACTAGTAGTGGAAAAAGATAGGCTATATAGGAGTAGCTCAATTAGCTTTTATTTATTTTTTTAAAAAGCACTAAGGGAAGAGGGAAATGCATCAAAATAGTTAACAGTGGTTATTCTGTGTGGTGGGATATTGTGTTTTATAAAATTTCTTTTTCTCCGGCATATGCATTATCTAGGACCTCCAGTAGAATTCTGAACAGTGGTGGTTATAATGGGCAGCCTTATCTGATTCCTGACTTCAGTAGGAAGGCTTCTGATAGCTCCCCATGAAGTATGATGTTTGCTGTGGGTTTCGGAGAGATAGCCTTTATCAAGTTAAGGTGGGGTCCCTTCTATTCCTGGTTGGTTACGAGTTGGTATCAAGAATGGGTGTTGACTTTTATCAAATGCTTTCTTGGCCTCTACTGAAATGATCATATGATTTTTCTTCTTTGGGTGTTAATAGTAAATTTCATTGCATTCCTGGCATAAATTCTGCTTGTTCGTGTTGTATGTTCTTTAACACACTATCGGATTTTATGTGCTAATATTTTACTTAGGGTCTATGCATCTGTGTTTATAAGTGAGCACAGGTAATAAACTTTCTGAGTTGACCTTATCTGAGTTTGGTATTAGTGTTAAGCTAGCTTTATATATATATATATATGTACATATTAAAAATGGTTAGCATCCCGAATCTTTTTATGTTCTAGGAAAGTACAGATGAGAATTATCTGTTCCTTGAAGGTTTGGCTGAAACCCACCCATAAAATAAACCAGGTCTGGTTTCTTTCCTTTGTAGAAGGGGGGTAGGGAGGGAACCTAGTGAATAAATGTGTGACTGCCTCTTCATTTGACTATGAGTGCATTTTAATCTAATTTCTATACTTTTCAGTATTTTCCAGGTTTTCAACAATAAACATTTCTAAAACACACACATATCTTCTTTTTATAAATTAAGGAGACTGCCTATATTGGTCCTGCCCATTTTCAAAAGGAGGATAACCTTATGAGGTTCCTACACATTTAAGCAGCCTCCAAATTCCGGGAGGATGAGATCTTTATTTCTTGGGAGTCCCACCCAATCTCCAATAGCTTGTCTTTCAACAGGGAACCTGCTAGCTCAACACTGAGCTAGGGCAGAGTACTCCTGGGCTGTGGGTCTCTCCCCGGCTTGCTGCCTGACCTGGGGTCTAGCTCCATCCCTCAGTCTATCCATCTGCAAAATGAGGATACAAATGGAAACTGTCAAAATAAGAGCTGGGAACAACAACAAAATAAATAAGTAAGAGCTGGCAAGCAAGCACTGTGGGGCCACATTCCTGACACGTGCTGCAGTGGGATCATGGGACACAATCCCATAGACTTGGCTGGAGTTCTCTCTGCCCTGGCTGGGACCTGGTGTCCTGGGCTCAGTTTTCAAACCCCTCAGGCCTGGGCTCTGCTCAGGGATCTGTCACAGTCAGCCCGTGAGAGGAAGAGGGAGTTACCCAGTCGGAGCCGATGCGCAGATGAATGCCCACATAGGGCCGGATGAGGTGGATGTGGATCTGGGCTTCTCCCGTCCTCACCATCTCGTCTGACCACACCATGTACTTTTGGAGCGGCCTATGTTCCTCTAGCACAGGGAACTGGGCTGGGGCCCCAGGCAGGGCGAGCACCGGATGTTCCTTTGGGGAAAATCTAGGCATGAGATGGAGAAGGGGAAGTCAGAGGACGCAAAGCCTGGCTGTCCCCCAACCCCCGCCCCGGGAAAAAGGATGGCGTTGCACCATGTCCCCAGGACCCTGCAGAGGGGCCCCTGTAACATGCAAGAAGCACGAGAGGTTGTAAAATCCCAACGGGCTGATAAGAAACCTTGGTGGCTGCTGCGACAGGCACAATATGCAATCCTGTCTCGCCTCACGGAATTTACAACCCTCTTTGCTTGTTTAACAATTAAAAATTTACAGTAGAGCATTCCAACCTTTTGTATGTCATGCTGGCTTCCAATCTGTGGTGTGGTAATTCACTCCAGGGTGGGGTGTCTGGATGAGCTTTTGCCCTTTTACCCACACGGCAGGGTTGGGACGTGCAGCTGCTTATAGAGGGCAATGGACGGGGGACACTTACCGGAAATGTGTACACTGGGTTATACCACCTACTCAACATTCAACCCATAGTTATTGACTGCCTACTGTGTGCTGGGACCCAGGGGAGAATGAGCAAGGCAGCGTCCCTGCCCTCATGGGATGCACCAGAGGTCTGCAGACCCCCTGTTACATCCTCCCAGGGACTCTCCTTCCCCCTTTGTACACTCTGCACTTTTGTAATTATTTCACATCTGTCTTTCCTGCTGGGCTCAGGCCAGTGTCTAGTACAGTGTCTGGCACATGTAAGAGCTCAACAAATATTTGTTGACTGACTGAATGAGGAGTAAACCTGTGTTTCCTAAACCCAGCAACACAAGACAACTGACTGTTCCATGAACTTGAAATGCACTTTCAAACTCCAGATCTCTGCAGACTTCTTCCCTCAACCTATAATGCTTCCCCTTGCCAGGCAAAACCTTTTCTTAAAATTATGAAATATGTAGAGCCACTCTGGAAAAAGTTTGGCAGTTTCTTGTAAAACTAAACCTGTGCTTGCAATACAACCCAGCCATTGTGCTCTTGGGTATCTATTCCGGAGAAAGGAAAAGTTATGTTTACATAAAAAAACTGTATGTGGATGCTCATAGCAGCTTTATTTGTAATAGCAAAAAACTGGAAACAGCCCAGATGTCCTTCAACAAGGGAAGAGTTAAACTGTGGTACATCCATACCATGGAATACTACTCAGCAATAAAAAGGAATGAAATACTGATGCTCGCAACCACCTGGATGGATAGCAAGGGAACTATGCGGAGTAAAAATAGTCAATCCCAAAAGGTTACACATGGTATGAGTCCATTCATAACAGAAATGGAGAACAGGTTCGTGGTTGCTAGGGTTTATGGATAAGGAGCGGGATGTGTGCAGAAGCAACCCAGGGTTCCTTGTGATTAAAAAACTGTTCAGTATCTTGACTGTGGTGAATACACATATCTATACATGTGATGGAGCCCTACTGGCGCAGTGGTTAAGAGTTTGGCTGCTAACCAAAAGATCAGCAGTTTGAACCCACCAGCTGCTCCCTGGAAACCCCATGGGGCAGTTCTACTCTGTCCTGTAGGGTTACTATGAGTCAGAATCGACTCGACGGCAATGGGTTTGGTATTTTTTTTTTTTTATACATGTGATAAAATGTTATAGAGCCAACTATACACACGCGCACACAAGTGAATATAAGTAAAACTGGAGAAATCTGAAGAAGACAGGTGAGCTGTATCAATGTGCACATTCTGGTTGAAATACTGTACTGTAGTTTACAGAATGTTACCAGTGGGGGAAACTGGGTAAAGGGCACACAGGATCTTTGTGTATTATTTCTTACAACTGCCATGTGTATCTACAATGATCTCAATGATAATGATAATTTCAGTTGAAAACTATGAAACAGGAAGATAATAGAATAATTTAACAATTCACATACCTGTGAACCAGTTTAGCAGATACTAATACTTTGCTTCATTTAATCTCAGATTTTTTTAAAAGATACATACTTTAATAAACCTCTATCCCATTGTCTCTTTCCCTTTTCTTCCCCTTCCCATAAGATAATATGTTTTTATGCATGTTTATGCTTTTACTATACATATTTTTAAAAAATCAAAAAACTTTTTACACAGTGTAGTAAAGGGTCAAGCCAGACTGCCCATTCTAATGCTGACTATGTGACTTACTAACTTGGGCAGGTGACTTAACCACTTTGTGCCTTGGTGTCCTCTGTATAACAGAGCTGGCAACACTTCCTACCTCATAGGGCTGTTGAAAGGATTAAATGGGTTAATACAAACAAACCACTTAGAACACTACTTGGCACATAGAAAGTGCTCAGAAAATTCTATTACTATTATATTGCACATAACCTATCTCAACTTGCTTTTTTTCAATTTAACTTTGTTTTAGAGATTTGGTCGTGTGGATCATGTGATCATGTTAGCTTCTCTTTTAAGTATTCCATTTTGCATGAATAAACCGCAATTGATTTATTTATTCCTCTCCTGATGGAAAATGAGGTTGTTCCAATCTTTCACTCACGTACCGGTGCTGCTATGGACATACCACTCATTATTCACACCCAATCCAAATATCTTGCTCAGCAAGCTCCTTCCAATCCTCTAAGACCAGCCGTCACTCCCAAGCCTCAGCTGTCTGGGGAGGGCTCCCTATTCCACTTCTCCTGTGTCACTCTCTGCACAATGATGTGCTCAACAACCGCCTTCCTTGCTCGACTGTCAGCTCCACGAAATTAGGAACCTTGTGGTCTTGTTCACCATTATTCCTGCACACACTGGTCCAGAGCCTGTGCCAAGGAAGTGACAGACAAGAGTTCATCGATGGCCTGCCTCTATATAACACTTGTCTTGTTTGACTCTAATTGTCTGTCTATGCATACGTATATGTGAATCTTATTGAGCCTTATTATGTGACAGGCAATGTTCCAATTGCTTTATGTGTATTAACTCATTTGAATCTCATGAGAGCCCTGTGAGGTAGGCACTATTGTTATTCTTATTTTACAGACGAGGAAACTGAAGCACAGAGAAGTTAGGTAATGTGCTCAAAGTCACACAGCTGGGAATTGAGGGAGCTGGGATTTGAATCCAGGCAGTATGCTCCAGAACCTAAGTTCTTAACTACTACATCTCAGTCCTAGCTCGCCCACCCCCGTCAATAAGCACCTCAAAAGCTGGGAGAACGATAATGCATAGATGGGCTCAGATATCCATCACTTTCATATCATGCATCCCTGGACTACAAACCCTAGCACTTCTTTTACTTCAAAAAACAACAAATTTCTATCTTGTTAATCTACTGTTATTTTTCCTGCTACAGGTAGCCTAACTTAAGCCCGATATACCTAGACCTATGATCTGCAAACTTCTTTTACATTACCTGGAACCCTGATATACAAGAGGGTTATGGGTGGAAGCTGGTAGGGAGGGAGGAACTGAGCCTTTCCAACTTGGCCCCCAATCCCTGCCCCCACGAAGGCCCAGAGACAATTCTCAAGAATTCTGAGGAACAGTTCGAAAACCACTGATCTTATTCATCCTCTTCATTTCATAGAGGGAGCACTGAGGCCGGAGAGGGGAAGCAATCTGCTTTACTGTACCATAAACCAGAGAAGACCTTCACCCTTTCCAGTTCCATTCTGCCCTACACCCTGCTCTAAAAGGACAATTTTCTTCAGCAAGTAAACATCTGCTACTTTAAAAAATGTTTAAAATACATACCCTCTCAAACTCGCCCCTACAAGCCATTCACAGGCTTGTCAGATTGTCTTACTGAGGCCTATAAAACCCTGCGTGGTCTGACCCCTGCTCACCTATCCAATCTCATCAACTGCCTGGCAGATTCAAGTTGGCCACCAAGTCTTTGAATCTCCTTCCACTCAATTGGGTCTACCTATGTCCCCTCCCAAAGCATTTAGCAGAAGTGACACTGTACTGGTTTCCAGGCCCAGGCTGTAAAGGATCAGTAGCTTCCACTTCCTGTCTCCAGGAATGCTCACTCTCTGGATGCACCCTATTGGAGCCCAGCTGCCATGCTGGAAGAAACCCGAGCCACACAGCAGGGTCAGGTATACACACACCAAGCTCCCGCATGGGAGCCAGCATCACCTGCCAGCTGTGAGTGAGCCTTCTTGGACATGCAGCCCAGCCAAGTCTGCAGATGACTTTAGCCCCAGCTGACAGCTGACTGCACCCACATGAGACCACAAGCAAGAATTACCCAGCTGAGCCCAGTAAACCCACAGAACTGTGAGAAATAAGAACTGATTGTTAAGCCACAACGTTTTGGAGTGGTTTATTACATGACAACAGATAACAGGAACATCCTACCACTCTCATCCTTGATCACTCCACACTAGTCACACTGGCCTCTTCTTTGCCCCTTAAGCATACTAGCTTGTCTCTGCCATGAAGAACTACCTTTGCCTCTAGCCCCTTGCCTGGCTGGCTCCCTCCCATCCTTCAGGCCTCAGTTCTGATCTCAGCCCTGCCAGTTACAATATCACCTATTTACATCCTTTACAGCACTTATGCCATACTGAAACTACCTCATGTATCATTTATTCACTGTCTTCTCCATCAGACTATGAGCTCCAGAAAAGCAGAGACTTTATCTGCCTCATCCTTACCTGAATCTCCAGCATCCAGCCCAGTGCTTGACACTTACGAGGTGCTCCTTAAGTACTGTATGTGTTGAAAGAAGGAAGGAGTGAAGGCAGGCAGATGCCCAGGTGGCCCTAACTCTCTCCAACAGCCTCCAGGGATCTCATCTTCCCTACTAGTCTTCCTTTCCCAGAAATTCAGCTGTAAGGCACAAATCTCCTCAAGCCCTCATGCAAGTCCTACAACTCCATGAATTCAAACAAGAATGTGGGGCAAAGAACAAGTGTTGCAGCAACGTCTCCCGACAGATGCATCCATGCAGCACTGTTCCTTCCTTCTGACTAGGACTGTGTGCTTGTTCTGACTTTCTGGAACTTGCTTTTGGACTATGTTTAGGGCTGGTGGCCTTTTTTATTTTTCCTGGCATATTGTCAGTAAGGGCAAATACTGGCAACAGAGGCAAATCTCGTTATTTGAAGGCAGTAGCTCCAAGCTATTCAGAGCTGAATGAAATGGGAGATCTAAGCAGGCAATCAAATGAGAGTGTCCTATTTGGGATCAATAATGAGGGGGATTAGCATCTTCCATGACCAAGGATCCTCAGTATCTCATGAACTAGCTCTGAAGGCAAGTCCTAAATAGGAACTGGCTGCTGTTAAAGGCACGGGTGTTTGCTCCACGGTGATTAAGAAAGGGTGCTCTGGAGTCACACTGCCTGGGTTCAAATCCTGGCTCTGCCACCTCAAGCTGTATGACCCCTCTTTGCTTCCTTTTCTTCATGTGTAAAACACAAATGGCAATAATACCTATCCCACAGACTTTTGGGGGGATTAAATGAGTTAATATTGGTAAAGACCTAGAATGGTGTCTGGCACAAAGTGAGCACTAAACAAAAACATTTTTTTCTGGTTGCCATTGAGTCAATTCCAACCCATGGTGATCCCATGTACGTCAGAGCAGAACCGTGCTCCACAGTGTTTTCAATGGAATTTATTTTCAGAAGTAGAAATAAATCATAGCTCTTATTATTAAAGACTTACGTACAGATCACAGCTGCTCACTCAACAGCAACATGACCTCAGGCAAGTTATTTAACCTCACTGAGCTTAGTCTCCTCACCTGTAAAATGGAAATTGATAATACCCATTTCATGGAAGTCCTCAAAGAATTAAATAAAGCATGTGAATAATAATAGTAACAGCCAACATTGGTTGGCCACTTACTACATACGTGCCATGCACCATATGTGCTATGAGGCAGGTGCCATTAGTACTCCTTCCATTACACCAAAGAGGAAACTCAGGCCGGAGAGCTGGAGTTGCCTGCACAGGATCACTCAGCTAGAAACAGGCAGTGCTAGGTCAGCTCAGGACTGTCTTACTCCAGAACCTGTGCTTGTTTCTCTACATCAGTCAATCTCTGGCTTACTAAATGTCACGTGTTGTGTTACACACTTACCATGTATAAATTCACATGCTCCTCACAGCTTCTGAGCTGGACTGGCACCCAGGTCTGACTTCTAAGCCCATGCTCTTTCCTGCCATGCTCTAGCACCAAGGTCAAGTGCACTGTGTTAGTTATCATCATAATGACAAGACTGTAGCTCCCTGAAGGCTGGGGTTTCCTCATTTTTATAACACCTTTGGCCCTTGAATACTGTGTCTCATACATGGCAGACGCTCTATAAATATTTCATGGCCTGCGCCTATGACCTGCTAACCTATTTTTTTAATAGGGCCTACTAGAGCATAATTAATAAAGCACATCCAGTAATTATCAGGATGACATCATTTCTCAGCCTGCACCTGAAGTTGCTCTTTTCTAGAAGCTGCTTCCAATTTTCACCTTGGGAAGAGGAAGGTAACAAGTGAGTGATTCTCACGCCTAGAGGAGGAAATTGAGACTCATGTGACTGCACAATGTTCTTTTTATGACATCTCTTATCAGCCAATAAACTCTTGCTCAACCTTGTGGCAGGTCAATGTCCCACCATGTCAGCCACTGAGATGGGAACAGATCACACAGGATCCCAAGTTCAACAGACAGAGCGGCCACACCTTATACAGCAGTGCAGGAGAGAGGGCCAGCAGAGGTGCTGAATGCCCATGGCAGGACGGTTGCGGGCCTGGGCCCTACCCCACCCCTAAACCTAGCATGCTGCCCCCTCCAAGTACCTCTGAATCCATTGGTCCTTGTAGGAAGCGCTGAAGGAAATGCCCGTGAAAAGCTCAGACTTGTTGAAACTCACATGAAACTGGTCCCAGAATGGGCCAAAGGGGTTTCCTTCCTGTAGAAAGAGTGTGGTAGAAGACTTACTGATGGGGAGGGAAAGTCGTCTAGGGGATGGGACCAAGGAACTTCAAGTGAGGGATCCCTGGGCAATGTGACTCAGGTTGAAACACCCTCATGGGATGGGCCAGTAGGAATGTCACTTTGTAGCTCTTAGGTGGGGGCTGAGGAGAGCCACTGGGCCTCCAATCTCCACCTTCAGTCTGGTTTCTGCCAGCAGATGTTCACCACAGTGTCTGAAGGAGCCTTTCCTTCTTACATGCCACATCCCGCCCACCCTGCAGCATCTGTGGGGGTCTAGGGAGAAGAGGACCTTGGGTTTGGGAATAGGGACTGGAGCTTCCAGAGACTTTCAAGACCAGCTAATCAAACACCCTCATTTTCAAGATGGAAACCAAGGCCCAGAGAGGGCAAGGCCCTTACCCAAGGTTACACAGCAAGTGAGGTCAGCGTTGGGGCTGTAAGCCAGGTCTCCTTTCTCAAAGTTCACAGCTCTTCCAACTACCCTCCTCAGACTTTAGCATAGGCACTGAAAGACTTATTCAGGGACTGTTTTATTCCCAAAGTGCCAGACATTTATGAATTTATACTAATAAAACGTGACAGCCTTTCATCTGCCCACTAAGGGGCAAGAAAATGTATAAGTTAGAGGATGGACAATGGAGCCAAATTACCTACAGCTGAATCCCAGCTCCACTACTTATTTGTGGAGTGACCTTGGGCAAGGTATTAAACCTCTGTGCCATACTCAGTTTCCTCTCTAAAAAATGGAGATATTTATAGTACTTTCCTGATGGCATTGTCTGAAGGTTAAGTGAATTAATATGTGAAAAGCTCCTTGTGTGGTACCTGGCACAAAGTAAGTGCTATGTGAGTGTGAGTATGAGTATTATTACTAATGTGGCATTTTACCATTTACAAGCACTCTTACACCTGGCCCACATAACACTTTATGAGGGAAGCAGAGTGGGGATGGGCACCTTTATGCAGAAATAAAGGCTCAGAGAAGAAAAGTTATTTGCCTAAGGTGACACCAATAACAAATGCCAGAAATAGGACTTAACTCTCCATTTTTCTATTGTAAGCCCTCTGGTGCCTTCCCCCACATACTGCCATCACACAGTGTCTCAGGGGCCTAGAGGACATGGAATGGGCAGAAGAGGTCCCCCAGCCTCACCGGACCCACCTTCATGGGGCACGTCTTTTTATCAGGGCTCCGCTGGGCTGCCACTTCAAAGCAGTAAGCTACCCGCCTCTCAGGGGGCCAGTGGGTGGGTGCCAGCTTCTCCATGAAGTCCTCCAGGCTGATGACCCGATGGTAGCCCTGGAGGGGCTCCAGCTTGAAGTACTTCTGGTAGGACACATGGAGCTACAGGAACAGGGGGAGAGAGGGGCAGAGGCCCTTCCTCAGTGTCCCAGTGGCTGTTTTAGAGACTCTTATTAAATAAAACCATACACTCCAAGACCCAGACAGATTGCACTGTATGACAATGAGAAACTTTTGGCAGAAAACACCAAAGTTAGGAAAGAAGACAGCCTAGGAAAAGACAGTCACAAACTAAAGAAAAAAAAAAGGCAACATCCTGTGTTTAAAAATGCTTGCTGGACTATAAGAAAAAAGACAAATGACTTAAGAGAAAATATGGACAAAGATAGAAGTGAGCAATTCACCACAAAAGAAATCCAAATAAACCCCTGAAACTATTGCCCTGGAGTAATCTTTAAACAATTAAACCAAAAAATATCCCCTGAAGTCTTCTTAAAACCAAACAATAGTTTAGCTTAACTAGTAAAAAAAACTGCCTTGAGCATTATGCTCCTTAAGAACTATCTATATGGGATCAAATTGACAAGAGCAACTCAAAAGATAAGACAGGTAACAGGGGGCAGTGAGTTTGTGTTAATGGAGGAGGAACAACTCAGAAAAACAGGGTGAGAATGGTTGTCCAACTCGAAGAATATAATAAATGTCACTGAATTGTACATGTAGAAACTGTTGAATTGGTGCATATTTTGCTGTGTATGGAGCACTGGTGGCAGAGTGGTTAAAAGCTTGGCTGCTAACCAAAGGGTCAGCAGTTTGAATCCACCAGCTGCTCCTTGGAAACCCTATGGGGCAGTTCTACTCTGTCCTATAGGGTTGCTATGAGTCAGAATCCACTTAACTGCAACAAGTTTGGTTTTTTGGTTTTGCTGTGTATATTCTCAACAACAACAAAATAAATAAACTCAAATAAAAAAAGAAAGGAAAGAAACCCAAACAGCCAAGTACACTCAAATCAAAAGATGTGCAACCTCACAAGGAATTAGGAAAAAGAAAGTTACAAGTACTAGACATCCCTTCTCACCCATGAGACCAACAAAAATTTAAAAGCTTAACTCTAATTGTTGGAAAGGAAGTGGGGAAATGGGCACTCTCAGATAGGGGTGGTATATTTTAGAATAACCACTTTGAAATGCAATCTGGTACTATCTACTAGAATTTAAAGCGCTCCTTCCACTCCTGGGTATTTTCCCTAGAGAAGTTCTTACATTCTGCACCAGGAGATGAGTGCAAGAATGCTCAGTGCCACTATGGAAGTACAGGAAAGAACTTGGAAGGAGTCACACCAAATATACTAAATTCATGATAGTGGTTGCCTCTGGGAGGAGGGAAATGGGGAAGAAGAAACTAGGATTAGCAACAGGGGCCAAGAGAGACTTTGTCTTTTATTAACTTTATCTAAAACATTTTCTTTTATTAACAAAAAAGGTGAAGCAATGCTGAGAAAATGTTAAAGTGATAACTTCTAGTGGTGGGCATAAGGATGGTGGTTGAATTAATCTTTGTATTTCTCTAGATGTAAAATTTTTTCTTAGAACACCAAGGAATAAAATTTGGACTTTATCTTACAGGTCAGTTAGGGTTAGGGTTAGCGATAAAATGGCTCCAGTCAAACAGGCCTGGGAAATGCTGAGTTAAGCTGATTTCTTTACTGCAGGACATCTGAGGGCCATTAATATACTAGTGTGTATTGGGAAGCTACAAGTTTGGTGGTGAGGGTGGGATGCGGAATTGAGAATGCAATTTCCTAAACTAATTTAACCACAGAACCCTTTCAGCATGAGCCACTGGCATTCCAATGAACAGACTTTGGGAACCTTAACTATTAGCATTGAGGTATTGCCAAAGGATTTTAATCAGAAATAATATGAGATTTGCCTATTTGAAAGATCACTCTGGTGGCAGAAAGAAGAATGTATTAATAGTAAGATTAGAGGTAGGGAAAGGAATTAGGAGGCTACTGCAATGGTCCTTTTGTGTGTCCAAGTATTCATTCAACATGTATTTACTGAGCACCTCTTACGTATCAAAGTAAGAGATGGAGAAGCGTGAACAGGCTGAAAGATATAAGGGAAGGCAAAGCAGAGGGTTTGGCATCTGAGTGCTTACAGAAAGGGAAGCACTAGGATGACCTCCAGGTTCCTGGCTTGATACCCAGATTAATGAAGGTGACATAAACTAAGGCTGGGAATACAGGAAGTGACACAGGTTTGAAAGGAAAGATGCCAAGTTCAGTTCTAGCTTTGTGAATCTGAGCTATCTGTGAGACATCTAAATTGACTCAAGAGTCTAAGAGTTAGAAACACAGGCCAGCAGTTAGAGGAGAACCTGGGCCACATATAAATTTGGGAGATACATGGAGAGTGGTGAAAGCCAGAGTTAACAGAAATTTACAGTAAAGCAAATATGGTAGTAATACCAAAAAAACCCAAACCTGCTGCTATCAAGTGGATTCCAACTCATAGCAACCCTACAGGACAGAGTAAAACCTCCTCATAGGGTTCCCAAGGAGCAGCTAGTGGATTCGAACTGCCGACCTTTCGGTTAGCAGCCATAGCTCGCTGTAGCTCTTAACCACTGTGCCACAAGGGCTCATGGCAATAATAGCAACTAGTATTTACTCAGCTCCAGGCACTGTACTCATCACTTTACATGGATTTGCTCATTTAATCCTAAGAGGTAGGGATGTAACCATTTTCAGCTGACTTATGAAGAAACCACGGCATATAGAATCTAGATAACTCACCTGAGATCATGCAGCTAAAAACAAAGCAGAAAAAGGAGAAACACCAACATTTAAACAGCAGAAGGAGAAAGAGGAGCCCCCAATACAGCATAAAGAGGAAAATGTTGAGAAAACTAGTTGCCGTCAAGTCAACTCCAACTCGTGGCAATCCCATGTGTGTCAGAGTAGAACTGTGCTCCGTACGGTTTTTAACAGTTGATTTTTTTGAAATTGCCTGGCCTTTCTTCTGAGGCACCTCTGTGTGGACTCAAACTTACAATCTTTTGATTAGCAGCCAAGCATATCAACTGCTTGTACCACTTAGGGACTCCAAAATGCTGAGAGGTCAGGGCTGAAGCAGGAGCAGGGGGTGTCTTGGAAGACAGGGGAGTAGAGAAGTCCAGGAAGGAGAGAGGTTCAAGAGGCCAAATGCCACTGAGAGGTCAGGTGAGATAAGGACTGTGAAATGACACCTGGATTTGGCAAGTCCAAGGTCCCTAGTGACCTCAGTGAGAACGGTCACAGTGGGGAAGGGTGGGGGCCAATCAGGGCAAGTTGAGTAACTCATAGAAAGCAAGGAAGTAGAGACTCATAAAGAATCTTGGCTGAGAAGGCAAGGGGAGAGAGAGCAAGCGAACCAGAGGGAGACAGATGGGCAATTTCTAAACCGTAACTAAAAAAATGAGAACACCGCCAATGGCACCCAGTTACTTCCTGTGCCCTAGGCATTTTACATTGATGTGCTGGTCTGAGTCTAAGAGGGAGGCAGACAACCTTCGAATCATGTTACAAGCACTTAACTTATTTACACCTCATCCTGGAAGATAGCAACAATTGTTACCAGCCTAGTTTACAGATGAGGAAACTGAGGCACAAAGAGGTCAAGTATTCTGCCCAGGGTACACAGCTGGTAAGTGGCCAAGCCAGGCTATGATCTCAGGTACTCTGGCTCTTAATCTCTGTTAACAACTTGTCTAAATACAGGCAAACCAAAGAAAAAATAAAACCTATGTAGAGAAAAAGGCTGTAAGAATGAAATGCTGTGCTTTGAATGTAAACCTACTGCTGTCAAGTCAATTCCGACTCATAGCAACTCTATAGGACAGAGTAAAACTGCCCCATAGGGTTTCCAAGGCTGCAATCCTTTTCGGAAGCAGACTGCCACATCTTTCTCCCGCGGAGCTGCTGGTGAGTTCAAACCGCCAACCTTTCGCTTAGCAGCTGAGCACTTAACCGCTACACCACCAGGGCTCCTTGTTTTGAACATAGTTAAGCATAATTTTTGAAGTCTATTAAAGTTTTTTAAGTTGATTCATTAAATACTAATTCAGTGCATACCAAGTACCAGGTCCCTGGGGATACTATGTGAGCAGAGACACTCACAGTGCCAGTGGAGGACACAAAGAATAAGCAAGGAATTACAAGGGTGCTAAGCATCACTGAGACACAGGATGGCAAGGGAGTCCCCAGTGAGGGGCAATCACCAGCCAGGGACTGGGATCTGGGGTGTTCCCAAGGAAAAGGAATCTAAGCGGCAACTTGATGGACTAGTAAGAAGAGATGGCAGGGGAGGGGAGAAGGTACTCCAGCTAGGGGAACTAGAATATGCAAAGGCCATGCTTTCCAGAAACTGAAGAATATAGGTAGGGGTTGAGTGCAGCAAGACAAGTGCTTACTTTGCACCAAGCACTGTTCTAAGCCCTTTATATACATTATCTCAGTTAAAATTTTCCCAACAACCCTATGAGTTTGACAAATGAGGAAACTAGGGTTCAGAGAAGTTAGGTAACTTGCCCAACGCCATACAGCCTGTGAACAGCAGAGCTGGAATTCAAACCCATGTCTGTCCAACTCCAGAGCCAGTGACCTGAACCTGAAGCCTCCACTTTCAGCCCCAGCTGGTCTCAGTCTCTGTGCATGCTATTGGTCAAACAGTGATGGGGTGAGAGGCAGCTCTGGAGCCAGACTGCCCGGGTTTGTGGCCCTGGGCAGGTTATTAACTAACCTGTGCCTCTGTTTCTCCTTCAAAACTGGCAATAGCACACTTGCCTCATAGGGATGTGGTAAGGGGGAAATGAGTTAATCCTCATGCAGCACTCAGAACACTGCCTGGCACACAGCAGGTGCTGGATAAATGTTAGCCATTGTTATGCCAGGAAGTCATTTCTGACTGGTGGTAGGGCAACCCGAGGGAGTGAGAGGTAAAGCCCAGAGAAGGACTTGGGGGCTGAGCAAAGGTGAGGAGGGTTGGGGAAGGGTGGACGCAGACGAGGGCTGAGGGCTGAGGTCAGTGGGTGGTACTCACGTTGGTGAAAGGAGGCTTGTGATGCTGGTACTCAATCCAGGGGGGTACAGCTAGGGTGCGGTTCAGCAGCTTTGCAAATGCCAGGGAGCCCAAGAAGTGATCGGCCTGGTTCCCAAAGCGCCCTGGAAATGGTACACCAGGGGTGAGGTGAGGCCTGGGGCATTGAGGGCCTGGGCCATGCTAGGCTCAGAAAGGATATGGACTCAGGGGCAGGGAAGGCCAGGAGACCAAGGAGAGCCAGGGGAGCTAAGCTAGAAGGACGGGATCAAGTCCGGACTCCTGGGTCTGACATTCAAGGCCCTTCAGGGCCCACTCCTTCAGGCTCTGCCACTCCAGGTTCTTTGCTGTTTCCCAAACATGCTCTCCACTTCCCACCCCAATCCCCTGCCTTTGCTCTTGCTGTTCCCTCAGCCAGGAAATCCCTTCCACCTCTATCTCCACCCCCCTGCAAATGAAGGGGCAACTCCAGTGCCTCATTCACCAGGACTCTTTCACCAAGTCCCTACAGTACACATTCCCCCTCTTCTGCCTCCTGCCTTGGATTTGAGTGACTTATGGTTCTTCACTTTTCCTTGAATATGCTTGCTTACTTCCTGATCTTTGCACTGGCTGTTTCCTTGCCTGTGAATGCCTCAGGGGCAAGGACCCGGTGTGATTCTTTGTTATCCCACAATGGCATCCATTCAGTCATTCCACAAATATTGAGGGCCACAATGGGCCAGCCTCTGTACTAGGTGCTGGGATGCAGGAATGAGGAAGGACAAGGTCTCTGCCCTCATGGCACTCACAGTCTAGCTGGGGAGACACTAAACATATAGAGAAATAAATACATAGTGAAAAAATTTGACATTTGCAAGAAACAAATGAAAAGTTTGGTGATGGAGAATAATCAGGAGGTGGTTACTTGGGTTGAGGTCGGCCAAGTCCTTTCTGGTGCCATTTAAGTTGAGATCTGAAGGATGGGAAGGAGTTGGTTAAGCAGAGGTGAAGGAGACGGTGTTCCAGGCAGTAGGAACAGCCATGTGATAGCAGAGGCTGGAGGACCTGAGAATGTCTAAAGAACAGAAAGGAGATCTGTGTGGCTGCAGCTGGGGGAGTAGGGGGAAGAAGTTGAGATGTAGACGACTGGCAAGGGCCAAATCATGCAGGGCCCTCAAGGCCATGGTCAGGAGTCTGAAAGCCATTGGGGGGTTTTAAGAAGCAATAGCAGAGGTAGGGTGGTTCAGTGGTAGACTTCTCGCCTTCCATACAGGAGATCCGGTTCGATTCCTGACCAATGCATATCATGCACAGCCACCACCTCTCTGTCGGTGGTGGTTTGTATGTTGCTATGATACAGAACAGGTTTCAGCAGAGCTTCCAGACTAAGACAAACTAGGAAGAAAGGACTGGCAATCTGCTTCCAAAATCAGTCAATGAAAACCTTATGGATCACAATAGTTTCATCCATACCAGACCATGGGGTTGGCACAGGACTGGGCAGTATTTCATTCAGTTGCGCATGGGGTTGCCATGACTTTTACAATGATGACCTACCACTCCATTTAAACTGTAGCCCTCAACCAGCCCTTAGATTCCGCCTTATCCTGCTTAAGCTTATTTTTCCATAGCATTTATCACTTTCTGAGATACTATGAAATTTATTTTTTATGCTTATATTTTGTTTGTCTCCCCCCAACTAAAACGAAGGGTCTACAAGGGCAGGGAGTTTTGCTGTTTTATTCACCACCGTATCCCCAGCCCAGAGAACAGGGTCCAGCACTAAGTAGGCACCCCATAAATATTTGTTGAATGAACGAAAGAATTCTTGGAGCCAGCGTGGGTCAGTGACATCAAGTCCTGCCCCACTAACTCCATTTACTAGATTCAGGCCTGGCTTAGACTGTAGCTCCGCCCATCACTAACTGTAGGACCTCGCTTACGACACATAACCGCTCTTGGCCTCAGTTTTCTCATCTGTCAAATGGAAGGTTGGACACGTTGACCCCCTCAGTGCCCTTGCAATTGGGGGCAAGAGGAGAGGAGCAGGCTTTGACCCTGCGCTGGGGTTCGTTCCTGGACCTGTTAAAGCGTCAGTGGACGCTTCGGAGGAGTGGCTTCTCCTTTCCCGGCCTCAGTTTCCCCATCTGAACAGAGGGCTCAGGAGGCCTTACCCATGCAGGGGCAGTAGAGCAGGTAACCGGCCGGGTCCCAGGAGCCCGCGGGGAGCCCAGGGAGCGGCAAAAGCAGCAGCAGGAGGGACAGGCCCGGCGGCAGAGGCAGCAGTGCCCACCCGGCGGCGCCCATGTCGCCTGCGGAGGCGGGGAGGGAAGGAGAGACGCGAGCGTCCGCCCTGCTCCCGGCTATCCCCGCGCGCCGCCCGCGCACCGTCCGGGCCGCTCTAGCTCGCCGGCGGGCGGGACCATAGAGAAACCGCGGCACCGCCCCCTCCACGGCCCGAGCGCCCGCTCGCGCGGCTCCCACAATGCACCGCACAATGGCCCGACCGCCGCCGCTACCG